CCCATCTATATTATCTGTATATATATATATATATTTATGTATACAAGCTTGTACATATGTGCATACACATACGTATACATACATGTTTCTATGTGTCAGTGTATGCATGCGTATGGTCAATATTGTTGTCGTTATTGTTTTCCAGCAAGGGGCTTCGTGAAACATGTCTGCTGCTCGGAGGTACGAGCCGTCGCAGCGGCCGATAGCGACAAAGCTGCTGGCAGGCAGTGGCCGACAATCAACAGAGTTTCGCAAGATGTTTGGCACGCAGTTCAGGAGCACTGACGATGACCACACTCGAATAAGCACGACTGCTCAACAATCAGCATCAACTGTCACATTCATGCTACTTATCAGCCTCCTCTGTTACTTGGCAATGCTTGCAGATATGAATCTTTGCATTTGCTACTAAGTTAGTTAGTGCTGCGTGTTTCAAAGATAGGCTTCCCGGAAGAAGCAATGACCTGGAATGAAGCTGGCGCCCAAGCCTCAGATCGCAGAGGGCACAAGATCCTGCCAGGTACGGCCAGGGCAAAGGAAGTATTGCCAATGTTAGCCCTAGTAAGGGAACCTTGACAGTGGACATAGGAGTCCTGACAGCGTAGTATAGTCCCTAATGAGGAACCCATAGCCGTTAAATTGTGCAGGATGTATTGGCTGTAGCTCAAACGGCTCTGGCAGGATCCCTAGCTTGGCATAAGATAAGGCAGGGTTTTTCTGCGGGGTCTAAAGAGCTTCCACTAGTAGTAATAGCAATTCTCATAGTAGTAGAAATAATAGTAGCGGTAATTGCAGTATATTAGCCTGATCCCGCAGAGTGGAACACAGTCGACACAGCTCAATTCCTACCCTCCGGCCGAAGGAATCATCGATTTGAATGCCCCCACAAGCTAGCCTAAACCGTTCTTGAAAGTCTCCACATGCCCGGTCCAGGATTGAGTCTGATGACGCTTTAGTAGCGCTGACGCTCTCTTTGGTTTCTATCTGGTTTCACGAAAGTGCGAGGGAAAGTCAATCGGCAATGCATAAGGCGCAGGAACAGCGGCTCCCAGCAATCCAGTGGCCACAAGACAAAACCTGCGTCGCACTTTTATGGCCAACACGGTCATCATTTTCAAGTTTGTTTCGGGCGTAAGCGGAGAACCAAGCCCGACATGTCTTCGAATGAAGACACTGCAGAGCAAAATGGTTCTATGAGCACCGTCGATATTTTGGTCGAAACAAAACGGTGGCTGTTCGAGAGCAATTTGCTGTCCTCACTTTGCAGACGGCACCAGAAACTTGTAAGGCCGCTGCATCGGCTTTCGCACCACCATAGCAGGTAGTCTGCTGTTGCCAGCCTTCTTCTAGTTCAGTCCATTGCGTTGCGGTTGATTCACATGGGTCACAACAGACAATTAAGGGCATAAGCAAGGATGTCTGCAGCGTTTGGCTCTAGGCATATTGTTCATGCCCCGTCATCAACAAGCACTTCAAGCTTGCACTTCCAACTGTTACTTGACGTGATCGGGTTGTCACACAACAAGGACAGTGATTGACGTAGGAGTGCAATAACATTTTCGCAGAGCATGCACAGCAAGATAGGAGAACTCCAGGGCCAACATGTACAGCAAGCCTTCGGACGTGAATAGTCAAGTATTATGAACTTGAAAAAAGTGGTAGGTTTTAGCCGGCCAGCCAGCATTTGCGACCTTCCTTTCCGGAGTGTCAGGCAACGCTGCGAAGCTGCAAAGCAGGGCAGTGTGGTAGGAGCGGGAGGAGTTCGTCAAGAACGTGATAAACCCGGCACATACAGGCACATGCCATGAGCATGCGTCACATGAGGATCCCCCTTGCCCTTGTTACTGCAGCCTGTGGAAATGATGCCGGGCCCAAGTGATAATACTGTAGTGAGCAGTTGCATGCCACAATATAGTCATTTGTAATTTAGCAGTGCCACTTCATTGTTAGGGCTTGTGGTTGGCAGGTTATCGCGATTTCCTGTAAAGAGCTTGGGTTTGGGTGACGACTCAAGCTTTTAGCGGACAAGTGCCCTTGCAGCAATACCAGGTCAGATGTGGTTTTGGAGCCTGCGTGACAAGTAAGTGGGTGAAGGAATGCTAGACAGTGCATGTACACAAAAAAACATACCCTGATTATTTACGTATGTAAAGGGATCCTTGGACAGAAAGTTTGCGTACCCTTGTCCTGCAAGGATGTATATAGCCGTTCCGCATAGAGACTAAAATCTAGAATTTGGAGACACGCTTGGACATCAACCTGCCAGGGAGCACTGCCATGCCGGTCAACCAGGAGTCTCCGGCGTTCATCGCACTGGTGCAGGCAAGAGGCTTCCCATGATTTCTAAACCTCATGCGTCCCTCCTTTTTCGGCGACCTCAGGAACGTGTCATGAAAGGGCTGAGATTTCTCGAAAAGACTGGGCCACTCTCGCTTGGGCCAGGAAAACAAGAGCAGGAGCCTCCATCTCATGTTTTCGGGCTGTTCTGCATAATGCGATGCGCGTCCGATGGCGTGTTCGTGTGATGACGCACAAAGGTTGAGGGTTTTGTGATTTTCTGTGCAGTTGCTGTGGAGGTGTGACATGTGTGACCCGAGGACAGTTTTTAACTCCACGAAACATTTCCTATACTCTTATCGCGCCCGTTTGAGAGGCCTAAAGTCACGCTGTGCTACCTAGTCATGATATTCCTGTTGCCTTAGACGCCTCGTTCTCACTTACTCCGATCTCTGCAGTACCTAAGCAAGCTAGGCCAGTGCTGGTGCAGCCGGTGCCGTGTTTGCCTCTTTGGTGCTGCAGCCCGTGGAGGCCGGCAGGTTTGAGGTGGGTTTGCCGGTCCAGGCTGGGAGAAGTGTAACGACCTCACACGAACGCACCCAAAATGGTGACTTATAAGGAAACGATCCCAAGTTGGTCCATTGGTTTAATTTCGAGCTCTGAATTTTAGATGAAACGGGCAGTCCAAGAAAACCCCATATCCTTAACACCGTGATTCCTCAAATCGAAGACGGGACACATTGAAGGAACACTCCCGGAGCTTCGGCAGGCGATTTTTTGCACCCTTTGTTGTAGAGATCTTGGACGCTTTAGCGTTTCTGATCAAGCAAGGATGAAATCAGTTTGACCTAAACCGGTCTATCACAGGTGCTGAGAAATCCCTATGCCCTAAACTTCAGGACCTTGTCATGCTGCCTCAGTCATGTAGGGGAAGAAGCCTCGCAATATGAGCTATAGTCCAAACTCCTTAAAGGGGTGTTGTATAGGATGTTATTGTAGGGCTTGTTAATTGGGATACTGGGAGTTTGGCTGTAGCCCATGTGGACTCTTCAATAGAAACTTTAAAACGGATCTTGTCATGTTCTGCTAGATTGGTTGGACGGATCTCTTAACTCAAGGGTACAAACTTACGGGAATCCCAGTGCGTAGTTGCTTGCATGGTGGCCCCGTTGTGTTTATCTCTGTATGATGTTGGCGGGGGCGTTTCCAGGCCAAATCTCAAGTGCAAAATGATATCTCCTCCCCATTGCTCCGGGAACACTGAGGTGGCCAAGACGCGTATCCAGATCAGCTCTGAAGGCTCAGATTGTCAGACTGTCGGAGATGCTTCAAGATGGGCATGATGCACGTAGCTCGGAAAGCCCTGTGGTCTATGATGTGGGGGTCTCCCAAAATTAGGGGTACTTCATTGGGGGCCCCCATAATAAGGACTATAGTATTTTGAGGTCTATATTAGGCTCCCCTTATTTTGGGAAACTACCATGTCCCAAGCTTTCAAGTTCAGCACAGAGAGGATTTTGTGTGCCCCAGGAGGCTAAGGGGCTGACGCGACTCTTGCGTTGAATGCTAATCCTTCGACTGGGTTGCTGTTAAGGAACTTAAATTAAGTCACTGTATTGGGGAAACCCTATTATTTACTGTACATACCCATTATGGTAACTTAATTTAAGTTCCTTAACAGCAACCCAGTCGACCTTGTATCGCCACCTGCTTGCAGGAGATGACAGTACACTCCAAACAATGAGGACCCTGGGCTTGAAACAGCAATCATGTGCATTTTAATTTGGTCATTAAAGCTTTGCCATTACCGTCGGCACCTGAGCTCTGGTAGCTCTTCTTTTTAGGTCATATGGGTTCAGTGAAGGCAGTGCTCAAGAAGAGCCGCCGACAGTAAGATGCATGACACCAAAACATTTTTAATGGCCTGAGAACTCAATTGCTGAGCTTTCTCATCCAAGGGAAGGATTGGCAACTGTAGCAAGTAATGAGTCGCAGCACGGAACATTGCCGCCCATGTGGTTTCATGCACTTGCCATCATTTTGAGGCATTTGGGTGGAGGCCAGGGTGGGGTTAGTTTCGTCCTTTTCGCACTCGTCCTATGCGTGCTGATGCTTTTGCTGCTGCTGGTGCTACTCTGCCACAGTCGCTATGCCTTCAGCAAGGGTACTATCAGCGTCCTATACCTGCTGCAGCTTTTGCTGCTGGGGCTGCTGCCACTGTTACTGTGCCAGTAGTAAGGATACTGGGGGTTGGATGTCTATTTATAGTCTGAGACTTTCTCAATAAATCCTAGTTTTGGCATGAAAGCGTGCCTGACTAAGGCCAAATAGGCCAATAAATCTGCAAGGAGACTCGAGGGATTTGGAGTTTTGACGTTTCGCCACGCAGTGCAGAGACCTAGCAGTTGAGGAGCAGGGGCCTTTTAGGTCTCCAAGTCCGCGGCATCATTCACACAATCGGCCCAAAAGAAACAAGACCCCATGCATAAGGGGCCCATGCCCCTGGCCGTGGAGCCCCAGAATCTGGAAGCTCAGACTGTCAACACCAAATAAGTTCAAAGTCTGTAATACCCCTTAAGTAGATAGAATATGGCTTTGGGTATATTATAAAAATCCCCATATACCCCATATTCTATCTACTTGAGGTGGACTTAAATGCATCAGGGAAGCCAAGCCCTTCTGGCGCTCACAGCTTTGCATTCTTGTCCCACAGGAAGATAGCCATGGCTGACGGTCCCCTTGGCCTGTGGCTGGGCGCCGGCGGCAAGTGTACAGAGAAGCTTGTATCAAAAATATAGTAGCCAAACGCAAATTCTTTTCCCACAACTTTGGCACGGCCCCTTGTGGAGGGACGGTTGTGAAGACCCCAAGTGTGATGAAGTCCAGGGTGGGCTGTGGGTTTACGTTTAGGCAAAGAGGCCGGAGGCTCAAAGGTCTGGTATGTTGCATCCCAAATTAACGTCCGAGTTTGGCCACTGTGCTTATAACACGTGTGGCTATTCGTTTGAGCTGGCCAGTTGCTTTCCTGGTTCCCGCTCATTGTTGTAGTATGCTCTGGCACGTCCCATGCACAGAATTTTGTGTGTTATGGAGCCGTTTGCAACCTGATGAGGAGGCAATTGATTAGAAGCAATTGACTCGTACAGCCTGAGGTAGCTTGCTTTTCATTGTTCAGAAGATTTTGGATGCACCTCTCAAAGCGTTTTAAGAATTAGCCGCCATTTTTGTTGCTGCACTACAGGCGCCATTTCCATTCAAACTTGATTGAGCTCCATCATGTATATAAGTGTAGAGGTAACAGCGGTAAAGGATCTTGGTTGCACCCCCTGCTAAGGAATGGAGCCAAGAATTTCGCGTCAGGGGCCTGGACCGCGTTTGGTGATGCAAGGTCAGGTTGACACAGCCTGAGGTCGGTGTGTGCATTGAAGCCGAGCGGGCAAATCTAACAACAATTCTTCTACCTGGCATGGTTGGGTAGAGGACCCTGCAACCCATGATTTTTTCCTTGTGTGCCGGTCCAGCTTTGAGTTCGTTTCGTTGGGGTTTCTGCACATGACTGTCACACAGCCCATCTACCTCCACAATACCGTCGCCGTGGCCAATTTGGCCAGTGCGCGGATAGTGTCCTCAATGGACTGGAATCAAGGCAGCTCTGAGTCTGCTACCCCGAGGTACTTCTACATTTATGACGGCATGAACGCCGTGGTGAAGCAGTACATGGCTGTTACAACAGGTGTGTGGAGCTTAGTCAAGGGTCCAGAGGACGTTTGCCTTCCTTGGGCCCATGACGAGAATTGAGCTAAGGTGAAGCTGGTTTTGGGATACGTGGCTGGAGTCGGTGTCCTGCCTGAAGTTTTCTTAGTTCACATTCAGCATACGGCAATCACCCCCCATTCTGGTACAGGTGACGATCTGCCAGCATCCGGGGAGTGTTCGATGTAGACAGCACTCCTGTCATCGCGTGTGGCTACATCCGCCTTCGACCCAGGAAACACGCTGATCAACATGCCTTTGGAAGTCATCTCGACCAAGATGCAGCTGGATGATGCAAAGGCATTGACAACCTACGAAACTAGTTTCCTCATGGGCTCGGCTCGTACAGGCGTGCTAGGCAGCTGCAATCCTTAGTCACCTGCGGATGTCCCGCCGCTTAATTTCCGCAGAAAAATGTTCTAGTGAGACACTTGATTGCTAGCTGACTACTGTTGCTATTGGTGCTGCTGCCTCCTCCTATCTCCGCTTCTTCTTCAGGGCTTGGGCACCGTTGGGATGCTTCGACGAATCATCCAGGAAGAAGGAACCTCGACTGCATTTTGCTCACGCTTCGCATGCAACCTGTGGAGGAGAACAGGAAGGGAAGAAAACCAGGAGCAAAAGTAGCAACAGCAGGAGCAAGTCAGGGAGCTTTAGCATATGGCCAGCTTGCAAAAAGTGGGGCACGAACCTAAGATTGAGTCAGTTTTCAAATTTATGTCGTCACTATGAGCCGGCCATCCGCGAGGATCCAGCAAATCCCCTTTGCGGTGCTAAGCATAGCGCTAGCTGAGCATTCTGCCCTGGGCAAACTTACCAGAGAGGTAACGACATGAATGTGGCTATTTTGCTGTTTGGACGAAGGGCAGCCCCCAACCTAGACGCTGCCCGCGACCCAGTTGTGGGTGATTAAACTTGTGAGACCAACCGTATACACACACACACATATATATATATGTGTATATATATATATATGCACACACCCAGTTTCCGTTTCATTTTCCATGTCCTTTTCCATTTGATTCTCTATAAATAATTGCGGTACTACCCCGATACAGTAAATGCCCTAAATCATCCTACACCCTATCCCTTTGTTGGGCGTGTCTAGGAAAAGGCCGTCTGAGGCCTCAGGTTGGCATAGCAAACAGTGCAAACGGCAAGCAAAAGTAGCATCAATTTCGCGGAGTTCGGTCCTAGTTCGGAGGGCCTGTGATGATGATTAAGGACTCGGTGCTTTGTACACCGGCCTTGGCTACAATATTGCATGGACCTCAGTCGCAAGCCTGAACTCCAGAGCTCACGGCAGTCAGGCAAAGCATCCTTCATGGTGCATGAAAGGGGCGTACTGACTGCTCCATGACCAGTTTTAGCCCACCTGCGTGAACATCTAATTATGACAGGGTTAAGCCTTGCGTATATTCAAGCCAGGCCCTTTGCATCAACCCGGCAATCCAGAATACTATACTCGAGCCTACGGCAGCAATGGAGAGAACTGAACATAGCTCGTTCAATGAAAGCTTGTGCTGCATCGCTGGCAGCTCGAGAGGGACAGTGATACACGCTGAGCAGTCTAAGTTGATTTGCCACTTGTTGCCGGGGCGCATCCACTGTTTGTTGTTCCTTGCAGGGACGCATGCACTGAAAAGGACAAGCTGAAGGAAGCCCTTCTCCAGCAGATGAAGCGGCGAAACCCTGAGGCCAGGGATCCAATACTGGGAACAGGGGGGGCAGAGTGGACAAAGAAAAGACACGGATGCTGGGTGCCACATGCAACCGGTATAGACAGCACAAGATCGAAGCAGTGTGGATCGCAAAGCGCGAAAGCAGGCAATCAACAATCACATGACCTGATGCAACCACTGAGTGACGCCTGGACACGGGTGGAATCCCGCGTTCTGACATTGCACGGGTTGTCTTCAAGATGAGCGTTCTTTGGCATGGCTTGGTTCTGAGATTCTACAGTAAGTCACGAATGAGTCATTCCTCAACTCAAGGACTACTCCTGCACTCACTTAACGAGAGACTTTTGGGCCCGTGGCCCTGGCATAGGGAAATGGAAGTGCTGAAATTGGGTCTTCCGTGCTCACTCTGGGTTTGTTTGAAGCCGTCACGAAGCCCTTTCATGTTTGGACCGTAGGTGGCGCCAGCCCTGACGGCCTTCCAGGCCTCCTGTGAGGATTTGGAATTGCTTTTGTTCTTGCATATGTCTCGAGGGTGGAAAAATAGATGAGGCGCAACATCCCGAACAGCGTTTGACTTGCTGTCTGTTGATTGCTCTACACTAAAATCTTACGACTTCCGCGGTACGGGCGTTGCCAGAAAAATCTTTGACTGTCACAGCTGGTAGAAGGCAAGTCATCCTAAGATTTGCTGACCAAGACATGACAAGACTCTGTGTGGTGGTTTATTATGTTGTCTTCGTTAAGCTCAGGGTTCTTCCTCTGCAAGGCCTTCACCTTGGGGGCCTTTGCCAAAGCGGTGGCCACGGTGGTAACTTACCCACTGGTGCGCCTGAAGACAAACCTGACGCTTTTATGCACTCTGGAGGGGTGAGGTTAGGATGCTTGGCACCCCTGCACAGTGAATCCCTGAACTAAGGCAGCCCCGGGGATGGTATCCTTAAGGACACATGAGTAGTAATCTGCAGTTTGCTCTGGTTCGCCGCTTCTGCAATCATGCTTCAGTTTACGTGCGTCCTAAGTGCGGTTCATCTCTCAATGCAGTGGTCCCGCCGGTAAGCATGGAATACTTAGAAAAGAGTCTCGAAGGTCAGGGGCCGTGTTGAAAGCACCCTGCCTCTCCCTCCTCAGGCAGGCCGGCAAAGTGCCACAGCCAACGGCTGAGCGGCAGCCGAGCGTGCGCAGCATGCAGCCAAACCTCCCAAGGACTGGGCGGGCGCCTGTGAACCTTTGACCGATGGTGGTCGCAGTTAGTTTCCTTGATTTTAGGGAGCCAGTGGAGATCTGGCTGCATGAGCGAGTGGTTCTCGAAATGGTTCTGGCTTCCTTCTATTCAAAACAAGTAAAGACCTTCCAGGCATGTCGTTAGTGCCAGAGGCATGACAAGGACTTGAGGAGATGTAGAGGTGGGTGCTGCAAACAAGGCGGGATGAGTTTGTAGCAAGTCTTGATACTGAAGCACACTATCACTATCTGACAGATCTTCACAGAGGGCTCGCCCATGGTTCGTCAAAGCATGGGCTGTTCAAGGTACAGTATGTTTGTCCATGAAGAGCGCAGCCCGGCTTTACGTGGTCGTTTCCCCACGGTCTTGCAAGATAATGGAAAATAAAAATGACTACACAACATGTCTTGTTGTTTAGGATGTGGAGTACCTGAACCCCAAGAGTAGAAAAGAAATCTGGAGAAGGAACTTCAGGCTTGACACTGCTGCCAAGGATCTTCGAGGCAGCCACGCACGGACAAACTCGGGCTCAACTAAAAGGTTTCTTTCAAAGGCACTCAGCCGCTCTTTCTCTGCAGGTTTGCAAGTCCTACACCCCTGGCCCTCCAAGCCTGAAAGACGGCGAGCTAACACGACACAAGCCCAGAGTTGCCGCAGGATCACCAGCAAGGGTATGACTCGGTCAGGCGCATTTCGCAAATCCTTCCTGGGAACAATTTTGCAGCTCGAGTTTGTTTGCTTCAATGATACGTCAGGGTGTCATCGTGCAAGGAGTCCTGAGCAGGCTACCTGAGCAAAAAGCTTCTGCCAACTTTCTCCCTCTTGCGTTGCAGGCTCCATCGAGATGATCCGTGCCATGTCCTTCCGTGAGGACCCTGACAGTTAGAGCTTTGGGCTGCAGATCGAAATTAGCTCCACCCCAAATCCGGGCAAACAAGAGGTACACAGCCAATCCTAGGTACATACCCTTTTGTCTTTTGTGACTTGTCATCTATCCGAGGGTGCGGACTCCTGGCAATGCATGTGCCATGGAAGACCAGGAGCTGTGGAGCTTCTCACTTGTGGTCATGGGCCACGGAGAGAGCAAGCGGTAAACTATATGAAGACTATGCAGTCAACAGCCTCCAGTGCACGATGAAAGGAAGAGCGCCTAAGTTCCTTACCTGCCATGCAGGACAGGGAGCCAACATCTGTTTCATTGTTTCAGAGGCCTGCTTCATCCGATGCTGCATCTTCATTTGCATGCTTGATGCAATATGGATTATGATGGGATCCTTTGGGGCAACGATGTAACCACAGCACCCAGCCGTTTGGCAGGCCTGCTGGGATGCACATGCAACAATGGGTGGCCCAAATGGCAGTCTGATTATCGCTTTCAATGTTGTCATCCTGGTACCTAGCTCAGTCGTAGGCTCTGTGCCGCATGATAGCAATATTTGTGCATACGTCAGATAGCCTTCCTCTTCATGATAGGAGTATGCAGCGCATGGGTTCGCTTTGGGTGCTTCCACTCGTTGTGTCGGGCCTGAGTTCAAGAAGCCCAAGGTGCATCGAGGTGCTTGCGCTACGCGGTTCCAGTAGATGGTAACAATGCTATGTCTAAAGCATGCCGAGGAAGCAAAAGCAAGTGCAGCAACTGTGCAGCCAGGCTCATTGAGCTGTACCGTGGAGTCTACTCTGCCCTCTTGAAGAGCACGCTGTGACGTGTCAGAGAATTACGGAGGCACTGCACAATAGAATGCAGGACATGGAGCTGCTCCGATCCCACCCACCAGCCAAATACATGCTCCTTTGGTTCAGGCGCTTGGCAGGAAATTCTTGTGCTACATCTGCACCGGTTCTTTTTGTAGCTTGGAAAAGTTAAGGCAAAGCGCCCTCCTGTACATGGTCAAGGATCAGGTGGAGTTCTCCGTTGAGCGGTTCTTCCACCTCACGGCACAGGCGAAACGATGTCCTCTTGGCCTTGCTCTTACTCTTGGTTTTGTTCGATGTGCTGGCATTGCTCGTGGCATCGCGAAGATCATACTGGAATGCCCATTTCCAAAAACTGGGCTCCCCGCCCCGCATACTTCTTTCTACACCCAAGAAGTTCATCTTGGCAACCCTATGGCCCTACACCCCGTAAGCCCGAGACGATGTCCCGGCATCACGCCTATAGAATAATAATCACCCCTATAACCACTTTGGGACGCACGTGCCTGCAGTACACCCCACCAGCGCTGGTGGCAGGTCTTCTTCCGCAAGAGCGGCCAAGTGAAGCTTGGCAGCTTCTCTGGGCGCCCACTGGCCTCCTAAACAGGCCTAGGTTTTCGGTTTTAAGGGTTTAAGCTAGCAAGCCTGCAGCAAAGGGCTTAAGCTACTTTAAGCTTTCCTATAGTCTTCTTTGTATTCCTACAATGTCTCTGCCGTTTGTTGGGCCTCAAGATTCGGAACTTCGAGCCCCTAAACTGCTAACCCTGGAACCCTAGACCCTAAACCCCAAAACACAGCCGTCTATCTGGCTTGGAGCTCAGATCTGTTCATCTGGCTGCGAGGGACCCTAAGAACATGAGGTGGAGCATACGGGGCTCCTTAAGGCTTTGAGGAAAAGCCAGGGATGTACTGTTTATGGTTCAGGCATTCCTGGGCTTAAGACATGACAACAGAAGCAGTGCGGTTATTGACAAACGTCGTTCTATGCAGCAGGAGAGTGGTGGAAGTGCCGAAGTGGGTGCCCAGTATGCTTGCTTAAGCTGAGTAACAGTGATCCAGGATGACTGACCAAGCATCCGCAAAGAGAAGCCAGTGCAGCATTCAGATCCGCACGTGCTCGTCTAGAAGCCAGAAGGATTCAGGCCTTTGAGCACAAATTCCTGCTGTAGACCCCATTCTGAACGGGCACAATTCTCCTCCAAAAGCAGAGCAGTCAAAGCATGTGCATGCTACCTAAAAGTTGCAATGCATCTAGAACTCCAGCAGGCAGTCTGCTCTGACTGACGGCGGAACTACTAAATCAGCCAAAGTAGCCCTCTGTCAGTGTCCATCACAGACTATGGGACTTCCGAGTACGCTCCCTTCATGGTAGCTTCACAGGAAGGCGGACTGAAACTGCAGGACATGGTCAGCCGACGTGCTACCTAAGCTGCGGCACTCATTTTAAGCATGGCAAGCGTGCAAGCCTCAAGCAGTGCTGTGCCACATCCAGAACAGTCTTGATCCAAGAGGTTTTTGGAAAGCAAGTGTTCAAGGCGCGATGAGCATCACAAACAGTACATGCAACTTGGAGCCATGCCAGAAACAGCTTCCCCATGCATGGGGTGAGATAAGCAATTATGGTCTCAAGGGAATTACCTGCCTCCAAAACTTGCATCCTTAGCAAACTTGCACAAGAGCATGGTCTCACAAAAGTTCTCTGCGCATCAAATCAAGAGCCAATCGGTTGGAGTGGGAGAGTGGCACCAGCACTTGAGGGGGTGTGCTTGCCTTTTGCAGAGATGTTGACTGTACACTGGCCTTGTAGACTCGCCCCGTCTGTTTCCGGGAAGTGGGTACTTGAGGGCCCAAGGTCTTTCAGCATGTAGACGCGTGCCTGTGGTCTTGACTGCAGGACCATGCAGCCTCCTGGTTCTTGCGTGGAAGTGGGGACTGTATCCCTCAGGTTCCCACGTGCCCATATCACTTCCATGTAAGAACCAGCAGCGCTCAAGAAGCCTGCTGTCAGGGCTTGGCGCCCCGGCGACTGAAGCACTACAGTGGTATCAGTTTCCAACCTACTGGCTTGTCTTGGCATTGGCCCCTCGCAAGAAGTGATTCACAATCTGGATAATCTCACACCAGTTGCGTGAGAGAGATGTCGCCTCAAATGATAAAGTTTGCTCTGAGAGTCCATGCGGTCGCATCTTGCGCGGGTGGCATTGCTTCCAGACGCTGTGCTCTCGTTGCGCTAAGAGACAGCAAAATCTTGGTTTCTCCGGCCAGGGAGGCAGAACCATTTCACTCCAGAGTGATCATACGGGCTTGCTGGAACCGAGCTGTTTGTCCTGCTATCTTGCCAGCAGGAGGGAATGCACTCACACCCGTACTTGTGGTATTGAAATGGTGCCGCGCTAGCTGGAGCCTGAAGGGTGAAAATGAAGCCGATACTCCCAAGACAACTGGCTTTTGCTTGTAAGAAGACCTGTTGGCATTTTTGACGGCGCAGCTCGTGCAGGCTCACCAGGCACATGGAACCCATTCTGGAAACTGCTTGGGATCTTCCTGAACCCAAAGTTTAGCAAATCCCTGCCCACATCACATAGAAGGTCATTCAAGATGCATGATATTCCGGAATCCAAGAAGAAGCCACTAGACCCGTTGCCGCCCGTTTGCGCAAAGTTCGCTGAAGGTATTGAATTTAAGCCAACAGTCAACGGACCCACCATCACCCTTATAAGCCTCATACGCAGATGTATGGCCAGTTGGCTGTTCGCTATGGTGGACAAGTCATCCAGGCTACGACGGCTGTGGTTTACCGTACTGTTACACTGGGCATATTCCTGCGACCGGAGAACTGCTTCATGACAGCGAGCTTCAAGTTAATTACGTGCCCAAGCGCACGACTGAGCACACACCCACCAGCTGGCCGCACCGCCCAACCTGTGCCGGCTTCTGCTTTGAAAAGCGTCCTACGGGTTCAGCTTTGAATCAATCAGCGAACTGTGCAATGGAAGAGCTATTTCCTTTTTGCTCGCAAATGCCAGGTGCCATGCAGGGGTCCCGATGTCACCGCCGGAGAGCTGCAGGTCTTGGAAGATTCAGCTTTTCCAGTGCTGGCCACATAATGAAAGGCCCAGAATCAGGATTACGGTTGATGCTCCCTCTTTACAGGCACGTTATCTTGCACTACTATACATGCAAGTGAAGCTACAACTGCAGGTCTCGATCCTGCTACATGCCGCCGGCCTCACTGACAGGCGGACAATAGAGTCATAGGCAAATACCCCGTGTCTCATTCCACAAGAGGTTAACATCTGCCAAACTGCAACCCCAAGGTGTCTGAGCAGATGAAGAAATTGTGCACATCCCTTCAATTTCAGGTGAGTCTCTGCCCGTGTGGCGGAACACTTTGTAGGGTCATGCGCTGACTGAAGGAGCCCCCCAAAAGGGGGTCAAAGCTTGAAACCCATGTACTCCTGGCCAATGCTGACTTTGTAGCCGATGCCCTGCGATGGCTTTATTGGCAGCTCCTGTTAGGGGAAGACATTTGGCTTATTTTGAGGTTCTCTAAATTCCGACCTACTAGATTCTTATTTGCAAGCAGGATGGATGGCAGGGCAGAACAGGTCTGAGTAGTTGAAAAAAGGACTAAAGCACCCATATGGTCTTTAACCACCAAGTCCTATGTTCAAATCTCCTGGCTACAGGCTTGGCAACCTCCTCGTGCCAGATGAGGATGCTGTTCGGCAGCTGCCTGCAACCGGGGTGCCCGAGGCTCCTCCGAAATCCCCATGGGAGCCAAACATGCCTTGTTTTTGTTTGGTTTGGCAGGGTCTCCATTTTGGCCAAATGCCACAGACAGCAGCTTGCTCCAGTTCAGGATACAAAAGACTGCACATACCCTAATATACCTTCAGGTCTCGCACGCCACACACACCACATGCCACATGTGCGCCTAATGCGCAGGGCTCTTGCGAATTCCGATTGTGGTGTCAGATGGCGCCGCTTCAGCTCAGTCGCTGGGCAGCAGTTCGACTCCTGCAATTTCATTGAGCCTTGCCCATATGTAGGGTTTCCGAAAACTGGGGCTACTTCTTCGTGGGTCCCTATACTAGGAACTATAGTATACTGGAGTCCCCTACTAACATATTGCCGGCTATACTTGTAGGATCCTGTAGGTGTGGCTTCCCTTGTTCTATCGCTTTCCGAAGTGAGTCAATGCATCATGTGAGAGGGTCGAACCTGATTAGGCAGCAGTGCCCATGTAAAATCTCGGCTACCAAGACGTGGGACACCCTCCCTCCAGAATCCCTTAATGTTAAAATCTGCAAGAGTAACTTGTCAGAACCTTGCATGTTGCTCCAAACTCGGGGCAGAAGGTGTAGATAGAGGGGCAGATTAGTGGGAGGGATTGAGAGCGGCGGACAAAGACGCGTTGCAATCCAGTTTTGATGCCCAAGTGTCCTCCTCTTACCACTTCTCTTACTCCCGCTCGATTCTCTAGCACCCTGGCTGTCATGATTTGTCCACTCTCTTAGAATGGGAACTACTCCTGCGCTTCTTGCCATTGTTGAGTTGCAGTCACTCCTGTCTTATACCAGTCGCTACTTGGAAGCTTCTGGGTAATTGTAAGCTGTTTATAGCCCAAGCATTTGAATGCCTTGGTTCCCAAATATGCCTTTAAATTGGGCTGTAGCTGAGAATCCAATTGGGTCATATACCCTTAAACCCTGAGCCCTGAGCCTTAAACCCCGAACCCTAAACCCCAAGCCAAAACATAAATGGTTTAGACATACACTCTCGTGGCTTCACGATCGTTTTCGGCCCAGGCCAAGACGTCTCTCCTGGCCAGGCCTGTAATTCTTCGGATGTGCAGCTGAGCTACAGTCCAAACTCCTTACCGGGCGTTACATGGAAGGGTTAAATCGGGGAGTATTATGGGGGTGATTAAGGGGGATACTAGGAGTTTAGACAAGCTCATATGACACTTTTGAAAATGAATATGGTTTGGGGCTTCGGAATGTCCATATCAACTGTAGTCTAAACTCCTGAAGGCTGGTTGGATGGGGGAGTATATGGGGACCATTATAGGGCTTATTAAGGGGGATACCAGGAGTTTAGACGAGCTCATATGACACTGTTGAAAATGATTGTATCAGAATTGTCAAGAAACAGCATTTGCTGCGGCTGCTTGTTGGGCACAGTTGCAGCATGGTAAGACTTCTGGGGTATTAACCCCCTCCCCCTAATATAAAACCCCCCGCCCCCCTTCATATTAGGGGGAGGAAATCAATCTTGTGGAAACATGCACAAGAAGCACTTTGCTCCGGATCACTCACTTGCCGGAGGCTTTGTTCGAATAATTTTCGAAGCATTTAGGTATCAGCTTGTCTTGTGGCATATCCTTACCATAGGTTGGCAGTTGGAAATTCGTGCATTTGGCTCCTCGTGTAGGATTTGCGGATGCTGGCCACAACTTGCACTATGCAGATGTGCGACACACTTGTTACGTGCACTCTTCATGCAACTTTGAGGCGCGGGTCTTTGACCTACGCCGAAACAAGGCGTGTGGGTGAAGCCAAACAGCACGAGTGAGATTCGTAACAGACATAAGGTTGTGAGAGGCAGCCCTGTTGCACGCGTGCATGATTTTGGCGGGTATGCAAAGGGGCACCAATTTGAAGCAGGCTGCGAGGAGATGTCAAGGCTCGGCTGGACTCGGTTGCACTTTGGCAGCAAGATACGCTGACTATAAAATGCCGAACAGAATCAAAGTATTAGATAGCAAAGCTTTACTCCTGGCACATCGCGCATTGAGGCTTGGGGTGCGGCAAGCTAGCGCATCTTGGGCTGCAAGTTGGCCACGCCAGGGTCATAGGGTGCCCCGGTCGACTAAGTCGATGAGATGCCGGCGTCATTTTAATTTGCAGCATCAGGACTTTTGGGATGCTGTAGCCGCTGTATTGCTGAGCTTCTTTTCAATGCAGCTTCAGGGTTTGCATACCTGTCACCTCAGTCGCATGGAAGGGCCTTTGCAAAGAACATGTTCGCTTTGCATGACCTTTCCCTCCAGATTCCATGCTTTCCCCACACTGCTTTACTTGCAAGCAAGCGATCAAGCACGCACTGCATGTCTCCAAGCATAGGACGATGGTTGTAGTCAGCCGCGGCTTCAGCAAGACTCATGATGGCTTTATAACGGCTTTCGCAAGGTCTGCACATGCGTTGACGTCGCGATGGTTCCAGATGCGAAAGGAATCAGGGCTGCCTGAGAGAGTTCTGCGACAATAGCAGCGCAGGTGTCGCTTGCACCCATGACTATGAAGATTCAGTATGTGACCTGTGCGTGCAGGCTTACACTTAGAGGATGCTATATGGCCCGATGTGTAGCTTGCAGACCCCTACACTCTAGACATCTCTGGACACTGTGCGCCTGTAGGTAGCAGATGCCAGAACTCGTGATGGGTGCCAGCTTTAATCTACAATGTAAGAACAGCTTCAAAGTCCCAAGGCTTTGACGTGAACAGGCTCTGGTCCAGTGGACCAGCCCAACCTGCACCCAGCCTTGCAGCCGCAACACACACACAGACTGACTCAAGGAGTTTAACATGTTGACCCAGTGGGACAAATGAACCCAGCCCAGCATGATTGCATCCCTTCACCCGTAGATTCCCTAGATGGCCCTCTGGCCAGCAGCTCCTTCCTTGCAATGGTAGCGCGTGAGTTCGATGGCCTCGACGATGGCTATGGCGACTATGCAGATGGCTTTGAGGAGCTTTCAAGAATATCGTTCCCACCTAGGAGGAGATCAACACACAAGTTGCAGAAGTGTGTTCCATGTTCAAGCAGAGCAAGTTCTGCCATCAGACCCGTAACAACTGCTGTAACCGCATGTTGCAGCTATGATGGCCCGCGACCTCTAACGTGTGCATCACAAAGAGCGTGTCCAGCGCATACGGACAGTAAGCTCCGTTCGAGTTCTGATCGGTACAGGCAGCTCGAGGGGAGCCTTGGCCGTCAGGGGGTTCCACGTGGCAGAAACCACTTCAGGCTGCTGTCGCTCCGCTTGACACTGCTTTTTTGCCTTTTAACAGTTGTGCCGGCTGAATGCCGCAGGAGAACCCGGCTGAGGAAGATGGCAAACCAATGTTTGGCAGCCTCGTGGGCGAAGCTGGGGAGTGTCTGCTCAGCATTAGGGGTGTCAACCAAGCCCCTTCTGAACAACCGGCGGATATCACATGTGCAACCTCAGTCCTAGGCTTTTTGCACTCCCACTCCTTACTTCGATGCTCAAAGCAGTCTAGGGGCCAAGAGGGGGCGGAATTGCGTTTTCCCCGTGGACGCCTGCGAAATCATTAGTCTCAGGATGCTCATGGAGGATGAGGCAAAGAACCAGCGACAGGCTCGTACAATTTGTCAGGGTGGTGCTTGCGTGGGTGAGATGCGGCCAACGAGGCTCAAATGTTATGCGCTGTGGAGAGATGGGTCTTACGAAGGACTAAGTCGTATGCACCGCGAAGTCTGCCATCTTAAGCAACTCACACTTGCCAGAGTCTCCGGAAGAGGGTGCAGTACGCAGTAACTCTACGTAGCTAATTGTTGAAATCACGGTTCCCCTTTGCATCGGTATGAATACTGGTTACGTAAACTTCCCATTCCCATGCCCCCTCAAAAAAGAGGCAGGGCTTTGAGGAGCCCGTCCCCCGAACATCAGGCCCGACGGAACTTGCGCATCCGCGGCCTCCTAAAGGGGCGACGGGATGCAGCGGAGGCCCCACCTTCACTTTTTTGGGGGAGGTGAACAGATACAGAGACCTTGCTGGCTCATCGCATTTGAATTGTGGCTTTGCTCTGTGGTCAGCAGTGAAAAGGGATTCAGAATAGCTGAACTAGTTTAATCTGAGGCAGTTATTTTGTTGTAGTTTATTTCTCCTTGCAACCTTTCTAACAAGGATAGTGGCCTCGCAGAGTGCAAGCAGACTGTTCAGATCCTGCTGGTAGATGCGATTTCTTGTTGAGCTATATCTACATTCGATTGTGCCTCATGTCCACGGTCTCGTTATGAAAAAATCTGATAGTCTGGGTCGGTCAGGACGTGCTGGGTCCCGACACTTTGGGCGAAGCCTCTTGGATCAGCTTTGGGTCTTGCAGGTTTGAAGAACGTGCAGAAGCTGAAGACTGTTTCAAAGCCATGCCGCCAGCCTGTTTCCTTTTTCAGCTAGCCCAGGTAGCACCCATTACAGACAAGCTGGAGCCAACGCCTACAAAGGCACAGGAGCCTTCCCTAGTTGAAGTTATTGTTTCTTGCTATAGGGAAGAACGGAATATATGATATAAGGTTCGCAGGACAGGGCCAGGGTGGCAGGGAGACTGTGAAAGTAGAGCTGTGGCCAGAGCCCAGGGTTCTGTCGTTGCGGGTCACCTTCCCCAGCATCGTGGTTCAATTAATTTTTGAGCCCAAGCTCTTCATGTGCATCTTTGAGGTCTGAGTTTGGCTCCATCGCCTTGGAACATCCTATCAAGCTGAGACTGGGTCTTGCTTGTTTTCCTGCGCCCCCAACTCCAAGACCCCTGGAAGGATGCGAAGATGCCCTTTAAGCATGACACTTTTTGGGGCGTGTAGTCATTGGGATGATGCTTGAAAGAGTTCGGGCATGGTTGGCGTCCCCTTCCAGGACGAAGTTTCCGAGCTTCCCCCCTGGCTGGTGTACCGCGATGAACCCTCAGAGGTCAGTTCTTGGGCTCTGATATAGCACTTGTTTGTATTCTCGAGGTGCACGGGGATTATGAAGGGAGTTCGCGATGCTCCTTGATGATTCTATCACCTCGCTAGGTAGTATACTAAGTTGTTTGACGTTGATTGAACAAAAACAATCCTAATTGTTTGCCCTTCCATCAAAATTCCTCTTTGCCTGGACCTGCAGCATGTGGGAGCTTATCAGTTTGATCATTTAATCATTAAATCCCTATATGGTTCCTAATCCCACAATCCCTCTGTCATCTCCCAATGCGTAAATGCGTCCGTGCTCTGCTTTTAAAACCACCCATGTTGTAGTCCTCGTCTTGGGATAACTCCATGTATCTAATGTAGAAACCCAACGAACCACGAACTCTCTGCAAGCCTCTCTTCACACTCTCTTTAAACCCTACACCACAGGCCGCAGAACCACAAGGGACCTAAACGTCCTCTACAACACTCCATCTATAGAACCTTCAAAATCCTCTTAAAATCGTCTAGACAACTCGTCATTGTGCAAACCTCCCATACATCCCACTAACCATTTGTAAGCCTTCTATCAACTTTCGTAAGCCCTCGATAAGCACCAGAAACCTGCAGAAGCCGTCCATACAATTCTGATGAATACCTTTATCATCAGAGGCACCTACAAAACCTGTTTAGCCGGTCATCAGCTCTCTGAAAACCTTCCATAAATCCTTCAAACACCATCGACTTTTTAAATATGGGGGGTGAATGCTGACCCTAATAGGAGACAGCATATCCCCATAGGGTCCCTCATTCTCAATTTTCAGAGCGACTTCTTTTTCAACAAAAATCCGGCTATACATCCCCATATACCCCTAAATAGCCTTATATGCTCCCATTTAATCCTTGAGGCAAGCTGATAATGTGATTTTACTGGCAGCCATACCAAGGCCTTCGCCTCCATGAGGCTGGACCACAGAAATAAGGTTTGGGGTCTAGGGCTTAGGGTTCAGGGTCTAGGGGGGCCCTTTCAAATGTTGTATAGGAAACATAGGATATATGAGGATGCGCAGCGTTTAGGGTTTATTCAGGGTTTAGGCCATGTCTAGGAGTCTCTGTTTTCAGGATGATCGTGCTTTGGCATTTGCACTGGGCCCCGTATTCATGGAAATTACAGTATACATCCATACACATCCACATCCACGCCTGGCCATCTAGGAGTTTCTACAATGATTCTACAACAAGGATCATATTAGCTTAGGATCTGAATTGAGCTCCCTCCCTATTAGCACCGATGCTACCATCTATAAGTCTATACGCGCATGCACACTTACATCTAGATTGAACCCTTCTGTGTTTTCATTTATGACTGCTAGGGTGTTACTTTCGGGGTGGTACTTGGCCCTGGCAAAGTACTGGAGGTTCCTGGGGCACAGCTTGCGTACTGATGTAAATCAGATTGCCGTGCTTTTGGGGCACAAGGATCTTGAATGGTGGCAGACAAATCGTCAGTTTGTAACTCATCCAGCTCCTTGGCATGTACGCCGCCATGAACAGGAGGCTTTTCAGTACTGCAGTAGCATAGGCATGAACATGCGTCAGTTGGCGCAGAGTCGGGATGCATGGAGAGCACACGAGCCCCGTTTTGTGCGATGGATGCTCACCAGAGGATTTTAAGTAGATTTTACGTAGTTGGGATGCACGAATCCCTTGTAGGTTTTGGGCTGAGGGCCCGTTGAGTTTTCTATGCATACTCCATTGGTTGCGCTGCTTGGGCGGGCCATATGGCACTGGCGCCTTGCAGCGAAGCACAGCTTTGCAAGCCAGCAGAGAGAGAGAGAGGGGTGGTACTTGGAACCTTCGCCCTCTTCTATCACAACCTCGTAAGAGTGGCTTAGAAGCATGAGGCGGGGGCTCTGAAGAAGGAAGGTGCTGGGAGTGCGTCCACAGCACACAGTCACATGGCTCACGTTTCAGTATCGTATGCGCCCAATCCACCGCAAATCCAAGACACTTCAGGCAGAACAGGGTCCTGGAGTGCTTTGTGCCGACAGACCTGCTAAGCCGAATCTATTTGGTAGTTTCCATAAATAGAGGGACCCCAATACAGACCCCAAAATACGATAATCCTTCTCATAGAGCACCAAAAGGGTACCCCTAATTTTACCATAGTTTTAGGAAATCGCCATTTGAGCCAACAGCAGGAGTTGCTGGATTTCGCTGCTTTTATGCGGCCAACCATCATCGAGTCCGCACCTGGGATCTTCAGACTCGGCAGTGTTCTCTGATAATTATTGCTATTACTCTTACCCTTACTATTGGTAAAAAAACATTGCAAGTACCTGTACTCTTACTATCAATATTCTTCTTATTACTATTACTTATTCCTGATTACTAATTTACTAATTTAATACTTACTAAATACTATTGCATACTATTGCAGTTAGTATTACTATTCTTCCTATTGCTAGTATTATTAGTTCGCAATTATGAGCCGCCTGCTGCGTTGCCGGGTTAAGGCTTGACAGGGCTGGGCCTCCTCTGGCTCCTATCAAGCCAAAATTAGGGGTAACCTTTTTGGTGGTCTTTATAAGGACTATAGTAGATTGGGCTCCATATTAGGGTACCCTAATTTTGGGAAACTACCATGTGTAGCCATAGGCTGGGAATTCTTGCGGAAGCCACTCAAGCAGGACTGGGGGAAGTACTGTGTCGTTGCCAGTGCAGCGGGCGTGCGACAGCAGCGGCATAAGCACACTAATCACTCCTTATGCCTGCCATAGCTTTGTAGAATCAAGTTGTTGTGAATTGCTGTAATTACAAATTGTTTTCCGCTTCAGGAGGTCTTTTCTAGCATATACTGAGACATGGCCAGTTTGGTGGCACGCGAGCTTGTCATGTGGTAGTGAGAACCGAGCGAACAATCTGAATTAGAAGTTACGTGTATCGCAGATTTCGTCCCCGGACGTGTACATGATGTGAAGTGTTCCAGAGTTCTCTTGAGAGTTCTAGCCGAAGTGCCAGACAAAGTGCCTGGCAAAGTTTGAGGTCACGTTTTTGCCGAGGTTCTGGGTGTTCGGCGAAATTTGTTTCGAAGTTTTTGGTGAAATTGGCAGTGAAATAAGTGTTCGTAAAATTCTGGAGTTGTGTGCTCTGTTCTGCGGTTCAATCGGACATTCCGCATGATTCCACGTTCCATACTCTACTCAACAATCACGAGACAGTGTCCGAGATGTTGTTTACTTCAACTCTTCTATCCCAGAACTAGGGGTTCAATGTAGCGATTGGAAGTTCTTCATTCTGCTTGTACGCCATCGTGCCCAACATTTGTGTTGGTTGACAGGTGCTGTTTGTCAGTCGCGATTGAGGCGCTGTGGACCATTGCGCAAATCTGCAAGTCCAATGTCGGGAAATTCCAGACATGTCCAAAAATCTCAGACCTCACTTTTGGAGCTCTTGGCCACAAGGCTGCCAGCAAATGCAAGGTAGCAATTATGATGTGGCTCCGCGACAAAACTGGTACCTTTACACACGCTCGCCAAAACAAGTGATCCGTAGTCTGGAGACCCCCAAAGAAACAATGGTATGGCCTTGATGATGATCAGCAAGACATCATACCATCAAAGAATCAAAGGCAGCTCGGGATGCTTGGACGCACACTCTGCAGCAAGCCGCCGTTACCCTGTGCCCTGGCGCTGAGAAGAATAGGAGTTTCATGCCCGAGAGATGGGAAAACAGCAACCCCCAGAATCATCCAGAATTGGTGACTTTAAGTTCGCATCATTCTTACAGCTAGGGTTCCGCATGAAAGTTGTCTACAACGTATTCAGAAGGTGACATCCTATGGGGCAAGTGCATGGGGGCCTTGAAGTGCCGCTACCTGAAGAGTGGTTGAAGCAAATAACAAGAAGGCTGGCAGTGATCCGTGGCCTGAATCGGAAGTAGACACATGTAGGGGAACTGTTGGCAGCATGAACTTCGCTTGTCGTTGCCTGAAAACTCCGCAAAAGGATGCGCGGGTCAGAAGTCTGGGGCACCATAGCAAACATCATAGCCCGAAGGAAAGCTTTGCTCAGAGCTGCGGTCTTGGCTTTCGCTAGAGATTCGGCTATCAAGGGCTCATACGAATGACGCCGCAAACTGGGAGTCCCTGAAGTAAGGATGGTAGATTGAGTCTTTTGGGGTAGACATCGGGTCCCTTTCTGTTTGGAATCTCCATGCGTGACCTATTGCCGAGAATGATCTTCTGAACAAAATCAAAAAGTACCATGGCAACTCTTTGCACGGTTATGCGAAGAAGTGGCCACAATGTAAAATTCACACCCCCATGTTTCTGAAGAGGTCTTGCTTCAGAGACGTCACGAGCTTCCTGTGAAGTCAGCAATCACCATCCAATTTGCCATTCCTGCTGGGAAAATGGCCCTCAAGCTTTCACACAACGGTCTGCTCTGTTTGGCAGGTGGCCCGAATCTCGGGTACATGTTTTCGGTTCCACCGCAACCAAGCTGAACTTGCCCAACGCAGACATTGACGTTGCCATCGTCAACGTGGAAGGCCGTTGGTCTGCGTCCAGGGCAAGGGTGTTCAACAACTTTCACTCATCTTGGAAGATTGGGCATGCAGAGTCCTCGCTAAATCCGTTCTTTTGAAAAGGCCTGAGAGCAACCACGGCTATGAAGAAGCTGGCTGAGCTGCTTTTAGAGCGCGAGGAGGTGAGCAAAATCGAAATCATCCAGCGCCTTGGTAAGCAGCTCCGTGGAATGCGAGCGCATGGTATTCTGCAAGTGGTGGACAAGGCAAGTACCCTGCTCTGAAATGCTAGGTCGGCAAAGGTCCCAGTGATGAAGGTCCAGCACCGAAACACGGGGCTGATGGCCGACATTGTCGTAAACAGGACGGATGGCCTGGACACCGCGCAGTTCATTAGCGTTGCCTGGTGATAACAGATTCTAGCTTGAGTTCCTGCACAAGGAAACGCTCATTTGGCATGGCTTGGTAATTAGTCTTTCTTCTTCATTGATCTGACGACACATCACGCCCATAGCAGCAAAGGGACACAGTTACAGTACCAGTCATGCCATGCCTGGAATCTACTGTGACATGCTAGGAGCCAGCAAGGCTCCGAAAATCTGCCATGTTGTGTCAACGATTGCACGGCTAGCCTTGGGGGACAGGATCATTTTTTAATCTAAGCCGTAAATGCAGGCTATCTCCCGCCGGCGTTTTGCTGTGCACCATGTCTAGTGTCCTTGACAGCTCAATTTGCTGACAGTTCCTTCTCGCATCTTCCGAGGAACAAATGCGGCTATTTCCTGAGTTGTCCCCGCTGGTGCTTTTCTTGAAGCTTTTCCTCTCACAGCGAAACCTGCACGAGACGTTCATGGGCGGGATGGGCTCCTACGTGCTCGTGTGTGTGCCTAGGCTGTCCTGAAAACAGTTTTCCTGATACAGTTAACGCACTAGCTCTCACAACTCGTCCCACAACCCACTTTGGTTATATTTGGGGTTTCCCAAAATTAGGGGTACCTTTTTGGGGGTCCCCGTAATAAGGGCTATAGTATATTAGGGTACCCTAACTTTGGGAAATAGTAAATCTGCTAAGAATCTTTAAATAATATATACTATAATCCCTATAGTTTCCATTTTCTTTTCCATTCTAACCCTATATTATACTAAGCCCTAAACCCGAGTGACTGCTCTGTCGGCTCCGCCTTGCAGGTGGTACTTTCCTTTCTACAGCACCACAAGTCTGCCCAAAGCGCGCACCTGCATTCGGTGACCACTCTGGGCAACCTGCTGTTGGACTTCTTCAGGCGCCGGAGGGCTTCGAAAGCTGTTTCTGGGCATGTGATAGGAAACTGCAGTGTTTGTACTGCATTTCTTCAACTTGGTTGATGGTCAAGATCCATGCTGGTCTTGCTATGTACGGGCTGCCGCTTGACCGCCAGGCTCTCCAAAGTTTCCAACATAAGATGTATACACTACTGCTACTTCTGCCGCAACGACATGAACGGAAACAATTACCCCCAGTGCTACTTGCATTGCACGAGTGTAGTCTACTCACTCCTTGTTGCCGCCCCACCCCAAACCGCCTGGGCCGCCTCCATCGCCATCACTACCACACCCCGCTGCCGCTGCGGAAAACATGGCCGTATCTTTCACAAATGGGCACACCGTAGTTCGGGCCTTGATTGAGATGACCAGAGGGTTGGCATGATCCACAGGGCTTTGCCCTAGAAGCTCGGCCTTCGAGGCCGCACAGCTCATTACAGGCCCGTGCATGAGCAATCGTTGCCTCATTCAAGAGGTACTTTGATTGGGATCATAATCCCTCTATAAGAAACTCCTTACATAACCCTGTAATATATAGTCCCTATATTACCCCTATGTATACATGCCCCTATTCCCTAATTACCAGCTATTACGGGCCCTAAGCCCTAAATTAACCTTCAACCCTAAACAAGAGGTACTACGGGCAAGAGTTCCGCTATGCTGCGACTGGAATCTCGGTTCGAGATGGCGGCTCTCTCTTTGACCGGGCCAAGCGAGGCACTGGTGAGAAGATGATAGAAGAAATGATAAGGTTCATATTATAATTGGTAATAGTAATAAAATTCCAAAAACAATACTAGATACATCATAATATGATATGATATAGCATATAGACTGTCGTATAATATAACATGATAGAATATAACCTAGTATAACAATGGATGTAATAAGAGGGGGAAGGTCGATTCTGCAGCGATCGTGCTCATTGGCTCTGCTATGCTGAGTGCCAAACGTGCTCCTCCCCGCTGAGACTCTGCCAATATGGTAGTTTCCCCAAATAAGGGTACCCCAACACAGACCCAAAAACACTGTAATCCTTATTACAGGAACCCCCCAAGAAGTACCCCTAATTTTGGGAAACTATAATTTCTGAGTCTGGATGAGTGCTTACTTACGCCGCAAGGCTGGACTGCAACAACTCGGTCTGGCCAGGCAACTTTGTGTTTAGAGTGCCTTGGACTAATGGTGGGCGGTCCCAACATTCCCTCCTGCCTCCGCAGAGATGCACGAAGTCTCGTCCAAAAAGCTTGGCGACTGAAGTTCCGAACCCAGCGTGGAGGGATAAAGGCTCGTAAGTTCACCCGCTTCAACTTCTGCGATAGAAATCTCATCAGGTCCAAGACTGAAAGCGCAAGTCCACAGAGATGGTTTTGGGTATGCAGCAAAGGTCGCCAACAGAGCCTTCTCTGGACATCGGTGGTCGGATATTCAAGCCAGTCGGCGTGAAGTAGGGGTCTGGATTACACGTTTACGGTTCGACGGCTGGATTAAAGCGCCATGAACACCCATAGGAGAAGAGGTCCGCAGAACAAAAACACCTCTTGGGCAAACTGAGCAAAGACAGCAGCTTTGCGATCATACGTGTAGGTACTGGCGGTGACAAGTGCATTTTCAAATGTGCCGTTCATCCCTAGCTGTGCGAATGCAGAGGCTTTCGTCTTTCGTGATTCAGATTGTACAGTGCCCAGCTGAGACTTGCACTCAAGTGATGACAAACCTCGACCCTAAACACTAAAGCTTAAACTGGGTTGCTGTCAAGCAAGTTAATTTGAGTTACTACTATATATACCCATTAAGGTAACATAATTTACGTTCCTTAACAGCAACCCCGTAAACCTCAAAGAGCGCAGCCCAGAATCGGCCTGGTACGGGCAGCTTTCAATCACGGTTACCAGGCCGGGCAGGGAAGCTGACACAATGGGGAATGGGCTGAGCTAGGAATAGACGGGGTAATTAACGGCAAAGCAAATGGAAATTACTGCGGAGGGCTTAGGGCTCTATTACCCTCAATACTTCCGAACCCCCAAGAAAAGAGCATGGAAAATGAAATGGGCACGGATTACCTGACAATTGGGAATGTCAATAATGTTAACCTCCCAAAGTGAACCACCCCCCCCCCCAGAACTTGTTTTGCGTTTCTGGCCTATGGGAGGGGGGACTGAACCAGGGGGGTGGGTAGGACCAAGTAGTACAAGTTGTAGTCCAGAAGGAAATCTATTCAAATCAGGACCACGGAGTACTGTATATTCGTATTGTCAGCGCATCTAGGAAACACGAAGGCAACAGTTCAACAGACCTAAATAGAAATGAGGATAGCACCATATGAAAGATAAATTCCACAAAAAGAAAAACATTATTCGTAGAAATTATCATTACGCTGATGATGCTGGCAAGCAGGGAGTTCTGACACATCCCAGGAGCTCCTTAGGATAGGCACTATGTTGGGATTAGCGTTATTTGGAGCCATGAGCTCCTATATTCTGATCTGGGACGTTATGGGTGCCTTCCGGCCGCCCCCAACTCCACCTGGGAGGTCCTGTCGCAGCTCTTCCTGGCAAAGAAGGCGCCTGAAGGTTCTGTTCTTTGCCCTTTTCTCCTCCGCCAGGCCATGGAGGGATGCCTTGTGTACTTTCTGTGTTAGCAGCAAAGGAAGGGGCTCTCAGCAAAAGCTGTTGGCTCCACGTGGGGTAGAAGAAGGGAGGTGTTGAGGCTGGACCCTCAGACGCTACACTTTTTTGTAGTTGCACACGGCGTCGTCGGACTGGAATGCCCGAAGGGGGTTTGGGGCTTGTCATGTGATTCATGGAGAATGCGAGGCAGTGGCGCTGACAATTTTCCGGGTTGGGTCTTGTGGGTCTGGAATGTTGCCTTTGATGCAAGGGCCAATTCTGACAGCTGAGCACCAAAGCCCCCAGCTCTGAGTTGCGTGTCAGGGGAATACAGGGTACGGAAGAACATTTTTTTCCAACTTCTCCCTTGAAATTGCAGCTTGTCGGCACCACCTGCATTTCAGAGCCTGCTCCCCTACAACAGCTTTTGAGACGGCCATGAGATTAATGTATTCCATGTCTAAATGACTGGGAGTCCACATACAGTACAGAGAGGCTACAGCACGCTCAGCTTGTGCAGGACCATCCTACTATTGCTGAGCGTTATCAGCTGTACCGTGAGCAGCCCGCGCCCTTTCTGGAGGCTGGTGGCAGTGCAGCAGTACTTCCAAAAACGGGATTGCAAGAAACCAGCTACAAGCTTGAGACGGTGTTTGCTGATGATTGTTTGTTTGTTGCACACTGAGAAGCCTAGGAATCGGCTATAGCAAGCTAAGTGCGCAGCCCTGGAAGAGACAAGCTGTTCGCAGGGAGTCGGGCGCCCCGAGAGCGACGAGGATGCAAAAACCATGTACGTTGCGGGGGGGGTTGTTCTCATGTGAAGTTTGATTCAGGAACGCTTACAGAATGCCCCGCATTCTGGGGTATGTGTATATGTGAGTATACATAGGAAGCTTTTAGGCGATGTCCAAATGTCCCGTGACTGTCCAGTGCATGCACAGCAGTCGTGAATGATTTTTTTCGTTGGCGCGGTTGTCGCTGCACTTTTATAGAAGCATGACTATTTGCATTCCACAAACCAAAAGCGAACAAGTGTAATCTTGGTGAAGCTTATGATTCCTTCCGGCTGCCTACTCCATGTACGACGAACTCGTGAATTCCAGAAACGGGAAAGGAATTAGTGATAGTTGTTTTGAAAAATCCACTTGTTTGGTTCCCCTACATGGATCTCCCTTCTCCTGCAGGAGGCCCAAGAGCCCACCCCGAAGCGGCGCCGCGGTGACGAGCCGGCCACAGTGGACGTGCCCCTTACAGAGCCAGCTTTCCGGCTTCAAAGCTCGGGCTGCTGATGGTGATGAATCATTATCACGAAGAAGACTGTAGTCGTGTCCTTGGGCGTAGTGATGTTAATGATAGGATGACATTGCAAAAGGTCATGGTTGTGTGGTGTCGGCGGCGACGACCTGGGTACTGACATATGTGACATTGCCACTGCTGGTGGTGCTGGTGCTGGTGGTGGAGCTGGAGCTGGAGGTGGCGGTGGCGGTGGCGGTAGTGGGTGGTGGGTGGAGCTGGTGGTGCTGCTGCAGCTGCAGGTGGTGATTCACGTTTGGTGCGCCACCATCCGTGAAAGCGGCGGTGGCGACGGCGGCGGTGGGCCATGTTCATGAGCTTGACAAGAACCACAACCAGAGAAGACCAGCCCATGCACAGGATTACATCGCCGCGGGCACCGAACCCTGCAATTTCTTACATACATATTATACATTTTTCGACACAGCATTGCAACTCTGTCATTTTGAATTATCGGTGTATCACGTATCTCTGTAATTCAACTGCAAACGTGATTTCAATCATCATTGGCCGAGTGCCCGCCTAGTCTCTCAAGTTGGCTTGCTGCAGCAGCAGCGTTTGCACACAGACATGTTAGGGCAAGCATGTAGTGTTGGGTAATCAGTGATTTCAGACGGGAAGAAAGGGAGCGAACCTCCTCTTAAACGCAGTAAATAATAGAAAAGGAGCAGAAAAGAGCAAACTTGTTTCCTAGACAGCATCACAGAAGCAGAAACCGAGAACCAAGAGAGAAAAGAGCCATTAACCAACCGCATGAATTTCTTCCGATCATTTCCGATCGTTACATTTTTGTTTGAGGGATTTGAGGGTGGGGTTGGGGGGGGGGGGGGGNNGGGGGGTGATGCTAATGATCAGAATGTCCCCCCTTTACTAGCGCTGTGTTTACATGCTTGCAGGGTTCAACCCTGGAGTTGAGCCTTTGAGCCTCTAAGGCCGAGCCTGTGCCTGCAGTGGCGCAGGACGCAAGTGCCTAGAGACCCTGGGCCCATGCTTCCGATTCGAAGCTATGGCGAAGATCCCCAAAAATATTCAAAATGAAGTTGATTGTGCAAAGCCTCTTTGCCCTTAAAGGGCAAAGGGCATCTAGTTGGCTATCCCTGGACCTATCCCAGATAGCAGCCGCCCAGTCTAACACGGTATCTTCTTGGTGTTTCATACTCGAACTGTAACTACACTAGACGAAACAACCATATGAGCTACAGTCTAAA